TTGTAGATCCAGGGAGTTGAGTTGAGGCAATTGTTTTGTTATTTTACGGAAAACCTAGATTAGGTGAGGTATTAGCAATCAATAAACTACATTGATCTGCTTAGTCGGTGTGATAGGTGGACATACCTGGTAATAAAGGTCCCATGCTTGGTTGAGGTCTCCGACTTCATTAGTCCTCTTATATGCAACGCAGCATTCTTTTGCTTCATGCAAGTCTCTACCGAAAGCTTGATGGAATGAGATTTCCCTTAGTGTTTCCGGCCCCTATAACATCTGATTAGAATATATTCTATGCTATAGAGCGAGTAACCCACCTTTTCTAGCATAGTGTGTAGCGGTTCAAGAGTCTTGAACATCATTTCAATGTTATGGTCTCCGAAATACAGCCTTGAAGCCTCTTCTAGCCCTTCATGCCAAAGCTCATGCCATAAGACTGCAACCCGAATCAATTCATTGCTAACAATCTCTGCTTGATCGACCAACTTTTGACTATGAGCCTTCATACTGTCCATTATTTGAGCGGCTGACTTTTGACGCCTAGACAAAGAGGATTTTGATGCGACAGTCAAGGGATATACTAAAGCCTGTGGGTGTGCTCTTCCGACTTCCGCAATAAGTTGATGGATTGAGTGCCTTACTACTGCGTCCGGCTGATTAATTCTAGCAATGAGTTGTGGAATGACCTCCAACCAGGTATCGATGCTGACAGAGTTGAATCCTTCTGTAACAGCCACGTTTACTTCTGGGTGCCCACCGTGTGCAAACCACAATGTCAATAGCCGAAGAGTATCTTGAAGAGAGCTTCCAGCGGAAAGTGAGATCGACCGGAAGAAACCGTTCACAGCAGGTATGACATGATCTCTGACCATTTCTTGATTCAAGTGTGTATTTTCTCTACCCTCTGCCGCAGTAGCTGCAGTGACTACTTCAAAATTGGCCAGGGCCCAGGCGTGCCAAGCTTTGTACCAATCCTTGTGGAACTGAGTTGCTTTGTGATATGAGTCCAAAATCTTATAAGCGGTGTGTGGCTCTGCATGCCATGTCTTGTACAAAGCAATCTGCCATTCACCCTGCTTCAAATAGCACCTTGCAAGAAGACGAGTATGCTCATCTTCAATCCCAGGAATTAAGGCTTGTTGTGGGGGAATGCCGTGGTGAGCCATACTGTTGGCGAGATTCATCCTCAAGTCTCTTGAAAGCGAATCGGTGAACTCAAAAAGATGTACGATTGCTTCTTGTTGTTGTCCGGTAGCCCACATAAACTTCAAGCGCGCATATGTCACCTGAGGTGGTACTGATGTGCCTGAAATATTCCCGATGCTTTCGTTCTGTGGAAGTAAAGAATTCAACGATTTCTCCGCGAGGCCTATTCTCCCAGACTTTCTGCAAAGATTTGAGAATTTAATCCACATGTCCATATTCTCTTTTGGCGAAATTACAAGTGCACGGACTTTCAGCATTCGTTGCCAAACTTCGACATTTCTCTGGCAGCCCTTGAGGCGTTTTGTCCAGGTTCGTCGCATAGTCTCCTGCTTCTCTGGCTGGTCATTGTTTTGTTTATATGTGATGATTTCCTCTAGTTCTGCCAACATTTGGACCCGAACAATCACACTATAGGCTCGATTGTAACTCTCGCCAACCAACGCACTGAGTTCTGTATCAAGGCCTTCCCTAGCTTTCTCAATATGCTTCGCCGCATCTTCGAATTGGTTTCTGTGAAGTGATAGAATTGCACCAAAGAAGCTCCTGTCAGGTGAATGTTCTTTCATGACCATGATATACTCATCCATGAGTTCCCACTGACCCAATCCCCAAGCAGCAGCTGCCGCAAGTGGAGCGATAAGTCGTTGTATCTCGCGGCCAGCATGCCTCCATTTGTCCTGTGCAAGTTGTGATAGATGATCCCACTCCCCCAATGCGTGTAAACATCTCATCTTTCCCATAGTAATATCAAATGAGTTGGGATCAGTCAGCTCCTTCTCTTGATAAGCCTTCAGAGCCTCTTCCCATCTCTGTAGCTTCTCAAACCACGATTCTCGAAGGGGAACGTCGTTGTAGACCTGAGCTCTTCGAAGAATACCAATGGCAGCGTCAGATTGTTGCAGTTGATTATTAATACTGATTAGTGCTTCAATGACACTCGGCTGTGGTTCTTGAAGAAATTCCAGTTCCTTATAATGCAGCGCCTTAGCATAAGCATGGCATTTTGCAGCATACATTCCCAACGTTCGAATGTCGATTGGAAGTGCTTTATCATCGTGCTCCATGAATTCGGCAAGATTCAAAAGAATCTGCAAGATTTCAGGCGGAATGTGTGGCGAAATCAGGGCTGTCTCGATGGAGCGAACCAATTCTTCCTGGAAAGGGGTCAGAATGACTTCACTCTAAATAATATCATGGGTATTTACCTGGAACTGATCATATAACTCTGTCCAGCAGGATACGAACGCAGCATTGAACAAATCCCGAGCTAATGGGTAGTATGCTCCCGCCAGTCCTGCACAGGCCCTCAAGGCATGGGAGGGTGACTGCTTCAGAAGTTCAACACTGAATCGGCGGATCCATTCCTGCCAATCCTCACGAGTTGATCGTTGAGAAGCCTCCCATGCATTCTTGAGATGTTGCTGATTTACCGGCAATTTCTTCGGTCCGAAATCAGCAAAAGAAACTTCGTCTGCTTTCTCGCTAGGGTCATTGTTAGCCATATGAATCAACATATACTGGGGCAACGTACACATCATCGGGACTCAGATTTTGAGGTAAAGGTTCACCCTTCAGCACCTTCCCAACAAGTAAGTCATAATTCCCATGAGAAATCTTGTTCGCTTGTAAAATCTATAAAGTCAGCACAAAATAAATCATGGAGCGTGCATTGTACCACATACTTTGTTAATCATGGGGATGAAGTGAGCATAATCATGACCTAGCTGGAACACAAGGGCGCAAAGCGTATCCAATGCTGTAACTCTCAGATCATTACTCCCAGACATCAATACTCTGGACAGCGGGTGCACAATCCTCGACGCATGGTCAGAAATGTTGACCTTCCTCGACAGTCTTGCCACTGTTTCCATTGCAACTTTTCTTGTCTGTGGCTTCTGGCTGGGCTTTTCAAACATTCGAACGATAACCGGAAGGATGAGATGCATATATTCCTCACTACTAGAGCCGAATACAACAAACGCATGAAGAACCTTTTCCTGTGGCCCAGGGCGATTGGGATCGGCCATTTCAAGAACCTTTAGCATTAGCGGAAGTAGTTGTGCGAGATAAACCTTAAATTCTCCTTCTAGAGAATGCGCGATGGCCTCAACTAGTTGAAGAATTGTAGTCTGTAGAGTCGGAGTGGAATCCCAATAGTCTCTGATAAGCTGTAGAATATCTGGCAGAAAATTCCTAATATGCTGCTTCACGATCGAAACCAAGATGCTCAGCTGGTTGAAGTACGAATCCAACTTGCTAGCAGGACAAGCCCGAGTAACAGACAGAAACCCGGGAATAATCTGACCCAAAAACGGAACACACTTCAGCCCAAGAGTCTTAAAAATGTTCATGATAGCATCAATGACAGAAGAGTGGTGTTGACCGAGGGAAGGATCTTTTAGCATGTTCATGAGAGAATTGATAACCACAGTAGGATAATAATCTTCATTCGAGGGGGTTAGTCCAGTCATAATCAAAGACACGTCTGTGACGGCATGAACTTGGTCGGTTGAGATCAGTTCAGAGGTCCGCTCCACAGTTTGATGTTTGTAAGGATCCAAGGCCCCCAAAATACCCATCAATTTGATCGTTTCCTTTCGCAGTGTAGTGTTCTGTTCGGTTTTGACGATACCTACCAATATAGTGAGGAGCTGGGGGTATTGAACATAGGGCTCGATTACATATCCCGAGTTGCTAGCCAATTGGCCAAGAGTTCTTAAGGCGGCATCTCTTTTTGCTGGCGAGCTTTGGTCTTGCAAAGTTTCAATGATAAGCGGCATTAGCTGCGGGATATATGGAACCATATCCTCTCCACCAACAGTTGCAAGCTCTCCTAGAGCTGTCAAAATACTTGAAGCCACCCCTGCGCTGGGGTCACGGGCCCGAGGGAGAAGCACTCGAACAATTGGCTCGACGTATGGTCTGATGAGCTTTTGCGATGCAGCGACCAAGTGGCTGAGAAGCCTTGCACTCTCTTCTTTATTTCGGGGAACATTGGAGTATTCCAATTCTGTGAGTAGTTGGATAAGAGTTTTTCTAAGGGAAGGAATAACATATGCGGGATTATGAAGGGTAAGCCGTCCAATAATGGTTATCGCGGCCTCTCGAATAGCAAAGATTTCATCGTTTAAAGCCAAGAACAGAGATCGAACGTTCTCTGCCTTTGCAAGATGCCTATCAAAACGAGCGTCGAGAGAGAGCAGAACCGTTTTACGGATATCAGGGTCTATTTCAAAACATTAATAACGATCTTCATAACCTTTTCACAGCTTGACAAACCTGAGTCGGCAATAGCCACAGTTAAGAGTTTTTCCATTACTTCACCAACCACTTGGATTGCATGATTACTTGTTTGATAGCAGATTGGATCTCGCACAAATAGTTGACAGCAAGTTAGTGCGGCTGCTTTTCGAACCTCAATGTTGTCGTCTTCCACGTATTTCATGGCAATATCACGAACAAATTCATTTAAAATGTGATCTTTCCAGTTAGATTCAGATCCCTGCTATGTATGATCCTGGTATATCGAATGTCAAAAAATGACTTACTAGTAAAATCAAAACTACCAAGGGTGTGAAGTGCTAATGTGATTTCTGCATCCCTCTCCTCGGCCGTCATACCGTCTCTGGATTGCTTCGCTGCAATTGTCATGGATGGTTGGACAGTTGCAGGGCTCCCCAAAGGTTTGAATGGCCGACCACAAAGAACCATACTGATCATATTGAGAAGTCGTTCCTGTATTGTTGGTAGGAGAGGGGGAAGGTAATGTGATAAGTCGACCAAGGCCTGGGTAAGCTTCACACTGAGGTTGCAGGAAAATATTAAGCCGAGTAGATCGTGCATATATTTAGTCAAAGCCTGACCTACCGCCGTGGCCAGCATACTAATACACTCGAATATCGGCGCTTCCTGTTCTGCCCTCTGTGAGCGATTTCGTCCCTTCATAGTGAGACCCTCTTTTATGCTGGCAAGTATTCCATCGAGATATGGGCCCATGCTGCTTCCAACTGCTAACGCCACCTCACCAATTGCTTTATAAGCAGAGCCACGTTCGTCTGAATCTTTCTTTTTGAGCTGTGATTGAAGATGCATCATAAATTTGTGCAAGTAGTTGTTGACGAATTCCGCTGGGTTGTACTTTGCTAGACATGGAATCATCTTGATAGTAAGTTTCCGAATACCTGCGTCACGATTATCTTTCAATCGTAAAACTGTATCACAAGTCTCTCGGTAACTATCCTGCATAAACATCCCTGCGGAATCTAACAACTGTAGGTAGATCAAGAGACTCCCATGTATGCAATCTGCTGAAGCGGACCGTAGTCCTATTTTTGCCTCCTCTAAAATTTTTGCATACCACATATCCCGATTTGTTGTGTCGCGATGTTTCATGATTGCCAGACACACACCCAAGGCCTCCGCGGCTGTCTCCCTAATCAAAACCTTCTGGTCCCGTAATGCCACCCATATCAGGTCCAATATCTGACCGATGAAGCCATAAATCAGTGTTGGCGAGCTTCTCGCCAACTCTCTCAGGAGTAATGCAGAAGCAAAGCGTCGATTCTCCTGCCGGTCGATTTGTAGCCACTCAAGAGCTTGTTTAACCTCACTTTCTACCAACTCAGAAGTCAAGGTTCCCCCCGGCGCTGCAAGTTGCCCTAGGGTTTTAGCAGCAAGAACCATACAATGGTTGTCGTTCCCCCTCATTATACTTCGTAAGTAATTCGCGTATCGTGTGGTTTTTTGGGTGCTGTCGTCGTGGTCGACATCTATGAGCACACCGAGGGCTAGAATCCCTCCAATCTTATCGGTGGTATCGCTGCTGTGGATGAACTCCGACACTCGACGATTTACCTCTGAGTGATATCTCGACAGCTGTTCGCTGGAGTACTCTAGATGAATCATCAGCACCTAAACGAGTTAAAGATTACCGCGACGGAACTGGCAAACCTCGGGAAACAACTTCCAGGTGTATCTTCAACTCATTAGTTGCCTTCTGTCTTACTTCTTCATATCTAAATCGCCACCGAGAGTTCGTCAGCAACCTCAGTCTCAAAATTTGCCTGAGCCTCGCGAGTGGGATATGTTATCGAGCGCGTACTTGCTCCGTATGTCTGTAAAGATTCTCCCTAGCGTGTCCAAGTGAGGGGAAGCCATGATGGCCTCGGGAAAGGCGGTTTCAAGAAATTAGATATACAACCCCACGGGTGTGAAATAGTCGTATGTTTAGAAGAGCTCGTTGTGATACCAGTTGAGCAGAGCTTCTGCTGTTGAAGTTCGGGGATGTGCAAAAGCAGGCTAGTGGCTAGGGACGTGAGGTTCACGTCTTGGCATGTGATACCAGTGGCGGAACCGATACGAAGCTTATCACGAGACGGCCGGGTTCGAGTAAATATTAGCTGCGCCAGTTGAACAGAAAGTTGGACGGTTTGAACAAAGGTCTACTATAGCGGTTTTAGGCAAAGACCTGCAAGAATTCAGCCAGTAAAAGGTGCAGAACTTTCTGTTCAAGACTTTCTGTTCATGTTCCTCGTGGTTTAATATAAGTTGGCAGGATAAATAATTCAGACTGCGTGTAAATGAATTCAGGAACTATCTCAAGCTACTGTACAGCTTTCAGCCCTTTATTTCTCAAAACCCAGGGCGGCTACGCCACTCTCTGGTATCTCAATTCAGATACATGTATGTATGTAGTCTTCCAGTGTCTGAACTGGCTTTAACAGTCCTTTACTCCAGCTGACTAAGCAACTGCTACCTGGCTACTGCCAAGAATGACTGTGCGAATATCCCTCATACAGGTCTAACAAGTACCATACACCGCTTATACGGAACGGCTTGTTACAAGGCATATGTACTTAAAAACAAGAAGAAATAATAGGGCTAATACGGAGAGAATGAGTGTTTACATGTATGGCATGGTAATGCTCGGGTGGCCAGTCATGTAGACGACTTTGCCAAAGTCTGACATCAATCACGTATTATCACTCGATCTATGCAATAGCACGAACACCCAATAAGATGTAACTGCATGTACTATGTACCTACATACCTCATATACGCGTGTATTCCCGAGGTCTCACGCGACACGGGTACGCCGGTCACTTATAACACATCACTCTTGGTTTTTATGTAGAAAGCAAGGAAAAGGCAATCTAAATAGTCAAAACAGATAGTTTCTATATATGCCAGATACATGTATGTACTATCTAAGGACAAGGGAGAACTTTTTTAGAAAGCAGACGCAAATAACACGAAAAATAGACACCGCCCGCCAATTTTAATATTACAAAAACCAGAAAGTAAAACCTACTCCGTCCTAATTTCAACAATCACAAGTGATCAGAGATCTTGGTATGTAAATAACTTTGTATGTAGTACATTCATGGCACGTATGGCATCTGCCTGTTTGATAACACATGAGATGTTGATTTCGCTCGCACCTAAAAAAATTCGCATGTTAGCGTTTATGAGTAGGGAGGGTAATGGAGATATCTTACCTTGTGATATCATCTCAATATTCACATTACTCTCAGCCAAAGTGCTAAACATCCTCCCAGCAATACCAACCATCTGCTTCATGTGTTTCCCTACCAAGGAGAGAATAGTCAAATCGCGAATGACATCGACTGTTCCGTAATGTTTTAACTCCTCAATTGCTTCTTTCAAATCGTTCTCCCTAACCTCCGAATGTAGTGCCATAGACACATGTACCTCACTTGTGGAGATAAGGTCAACTGCTAACCGCCATTTGTCGAGTGTAGAAAAAATCTCCGCAAGGAAACCATGTGCAAGGGACTTTCGATTTGAATGGACATTGAGAACTACGATATTATTCTTGGTAGTGACTGCAGTTGGGCGTTTGTGTCGCTGAACAAGAAGTGGATCATGTGTTTTAAGGCGCATGTGCCTTGGGGGCTCGGTAGGTGTATCCTCGCCTTTGCGATGGATAGTATCAGGAAAGATGATAGTACCTTCACCTGCGGGATTTTCGACGTTTTTGATACGGATTGGAATCCGCGCGCGGATTACTTGCTCCATGGTGAATGGGTGTATAACCTAGACCACTTCATCAGTTTTGTCCATTTGTATAGACATTTCTGACCATGATTTACCTCTGAACCGTAATATGTTAACTCTGCAGCCTCTTCAGGGGTAATCACTGGGATCAGGCGTGCTGTTGGAACCTTCCTGGGGTCCGCAGTGAAAATCCCATCAACCTCCTTCCACACCTGAAGCTCCTCGGCATCGAGCCCAACCGCCAGAAGTGCGCTGCAGAGATCTGTGTACCCTCTGCCGACCGAGGTCAAGAGACTACCGGGAACAGTACCAAAGTAGCCTGTAACTACTGGCACTCTATCCTCACATAGCTGAATCCTTTCTGCCAATTGCTTGGGAAGGTAGTCGTAGAATTCTTGGTCGAGACCTTTTTTGACTGTATAACTGCTAGGAATAATGCTATCCAAATTAACATATTCCGCACCAACTCCTCTATCTCGGAGAAGAGCCGTCATGAGCAAGCATGCCAACTTTTCTCCGGCACCGATGATAATGTCCTTTGTCTTCGGGCTAATTTCGTCGATGATCTGGAGGCGATAGTTGTTTAATACCTTGCGCGTCACTAATTCTACACAGTAAAAGGCCTTATTACGAACCTGGGCGGCGCTGAGGAAGTTGATCAGCTTTCCACATTCTGTCTCTATATCGCTCTTGAGCTGGTCAAGTATTTCTTTGGATTCTATAAGCTCTGCGCCAGCGTCAACATGGCTTTCCCGGATCGCTTCGACAATATCAAGGTATAGTCTTGAGCCGGGTTTTAAAGCTTCCTCCGCAGCTCGGAGAAGTCTAGGTACCGTGAGATTAAATATCAGCAATGAATCTAGACATCAAATAATTTGGATGACTCACCTATTTGTGGTCCCTTCTGCCTTTGTATCTGTACTTCTCGCCGAACACACAACTGCGATTTTATTCCCACCGAGATGTGCCCTGTATTTGGTCCCAATAATGAGAAAAAGTGCTCCATAACTGCGATTGTAGCCATGATCGAGGGAAGAGCTCTTACCGCACGATATCTTCGGCAATTTTCTCGGCGAATTTTCCCACGCTGGTACCGCCAAACTTTTGGATGACCCATCCGCCTGAAGCGTCGTTTTTTTTCATCTGAGTGTGTCCGTTGGTTGTTGGAGAAGGCGGAAGAGTTTCAAGGGCCATTATGGAGTCTTCTTTCTTCTTTGATATGCACTGTGTTTTAGTGTCTTTGTTTTTAAATTTTGTAAGGTGGGATGAAAAGATCAAAAAAGTCTCAAGGGAAATGTGCGGGGGTATTTAGCGAGGTTGCGACAGGGGCGATGTTGCAACTGCCCCAAGACGTTTGCGGGCTGGACCCGGTTTGCATAATACCAGAATTTGTAGAGTATACAGAGTGCATGTACCTACATGTAGTCAACTAGACCACATATCCCGCAAGAATTGATATTGAACGTTGTTGTTTGGTATTATACTAGTAATAACTGATCTCGGGCACTTCCGGCTTTGAAAGAAATTGATAACCGCAATTCAAGAACATTCCTGCCAGGAGGAAATAGGGCAAACCTTTTGATTGGAGGACTTGAAAATATTCTAGTTATATATACATATAGCATTACGTCGACCATACAGAGCTAGAGGGCCTGAATACAGGATTAAGCCTCCGGTTGCGGCCAGGCTTAATTAATTAACTATATCGCCAGCTAGTATAACCCGTTTGCGAATCTTTTCTCGTCTGGTTACTTTATATTATAATGCGTAGTATACGATAGATAAATTTATTATCCTTAGTGATGATGGGTCTGTTATGAGCCCACATAACTTGCGATAGAATCATTGGCCATTTGTATTACTACTGTGCCAATGTTTCCTAGCTCCATGAAGGCCTTTGGACAAATTTTAAAGGTTACAACGAGAACTCGGGATACTAACAGAGAGTTAAGGTACATAATGTATTTCAAACACTCCCGCAGCGCCAAAAAATTAAACCTCACTAATTTACAGGTCCCAGAGTACTACAGCATATATATATACATACATGATATAATGAATGTACGTATCTACATCTACAATCGTACAAAAACGTATTCAACTATTTTGTACAGCAATAGCAGCCCGCTTTAAAAGTGTATTGCATGTACTATTTACATATCATTTCAAAGCTTCCATAAGAATGGTCTCATCGGGACGAAAGATGGCGTGCTTGCAAGGCAATAGCATCTTGCTACTATTACCGCGATAGGGTTACAATTAAAGTTTCGAGGGGCACACCTTATTAGGTTGATTGGGTGAGAGCTTTGTGATATCTGGGAGTCGATTTAGGATAAGAGTTCTCTTCTCATCTTTGGTGTAACATGTTTCAGCAGTTCATGAACAGTAAAGCTAGAGCCTAGTCTAGTGCCCGCTCCCTCCCGGGCCCCTCGTACTCGATATATGATCATATAACCGAATTCGAATTCGCGGGGAGTATCTCAGAGCCAGCCAAACCACAGAGGTATCAGCAATAATTATAACGGAAAAGGTCTATAAACATAGTTTTTCGGTGGACGCGCTGTAAAGTAACATATGGCGCAAAATGACACAGTTTGAATTCCTATGACCCAAAACGACACAGGCTGGTGAGCGAGTTGTTTAGTATAGTTGATTGAATACAGTTGATTGAATGAAATATTGATACAGAATAATCCGGAGTGTTTTGCGCGGAGGCTTCAGCTAAAGGTGACATCGTGGTTCTTTACATACATACTATACAGCTAGCGAGTACATACACATAAATTAAGCCAAATAACTACCCATATTTGAGAAGAGGACGCTCTGAAGATCATTTGTTTGATCCCAACAGTACGAATTTACGGAGGTCAGATAGTAGGTACTTCAAGCTAGACTAGTAGAGTGCTAGGTATAATATGTACCGACCGTATCTTCCGGTGTAGTTGCATTGCTTTTAGGGATGCCGAATGATATGGGTGGGATCTTGTGATCCGATCAAAATATCGGGGGGACCAAAATCTGGGCTCTTGTAATCGGATATGTATAAAGTACTTAAGGTACATGTATCCAAGATTTATCTTTCCTTCTACGCGCGTAACAAGGTGTTTCAAATCAATGTGGCATTTTAGAAGGCTTTGAAGTTTGAACGCTTATGTATTAGCAGTTTTCATGCATTTCTAAAAAAAAAAACCACTCAACGCGTGGCGGACAGCACGCGTTCCCAAAGGAGACGTAAAGCAGAAAAACGCGACACCACCTCCTTCATATTACATCAAGGGTCTAATCATCCATCCAAGCCTTGCTTTCAACAATTTCTTTCCTACGCTCAACTTGCTCTATTTTGTTTTTTCGTAAATCTTTTTTACCTTAATTCGCGACTTGAAAGGCTACCCACAACTCCCAGAATCTAAGTTTACTCGCGCACAATGCCTGCCGCAACGAAGAAGAGACGAATGCTTACATACGACCAGAATGGTCGTCTTAGAAAAGATAAAGATACACCTGAGGCTTCAAGCGCCAAAAAACCTAAGATTGAAGAGGGGGCGAAAACGGTTGGCGAGACTAGGGAAGCTCGACTGGCGAAGGCGTCGCAGAGTGTTAAAAAGAGCAGCTTCGAGGGCGACCTAGAGAAATTAACACAGGAGATCCATGAATTGAAAGGAGGTGAGTTGTATCTTCTCCTGGAAATTTCGGTGGCATTAGCCCGGACCTAGGTTAATATTTGCAAACAGGTAATGCTGAAAGGGACCAAAAGTGGGCAAGGCCGGATTTAGAGCCTGGATGGGATCCTGCTACGGAGAGTCTCATCTTTCAACAGATTGATGTTGAAGAAGGGACTTTGAATGGAAAGACCAACCTACGGTTATTCGGTGTTACTGAAGTACTGTTTCTGGATTTGTTGAAGGCTTGAAGAGCAATTGCTAACTTATCAATAGGATGGGCACTCCGTACTTCTTCACGTCACTGATTTCCTTCAATACCTCTATGTCGCGGCCCCCGTAAACTTTACCCACGATCTTCTACCGGACTACAAAAGAGCGCTAGAAATGAAGCTTTCTAATGGCTTCGATAATATCATCCACACAGTTCAACTTGTCATGCGCCAGAACCTTTACCACTACACTGGTGGAAAAAACTTACCATACATAAAAATTAGTGTAACGGACCCTAAATACGCCAGCCGGGTGAGAGGCTTGATTGAGCGTGGAGATGCAAATTACAAGAAGATGTGGCCTTCTGGAGATATTATGACTTTTGATAATATCCAGTATGTCATGCGATTCATGGTCGATACGAACATCTCTGGTATGAGTTGGGTGGAAGTGCCAGCAGGGAACTATCACATGCTTCCGAAAGGGGAGTTAACCTCGACTTGCCAAATTGAAGCGAAATGCAGTTACCGGGATTTGATTGCTCACTCGGTTGAGGGGGAATATTCAAAAATGGCACCTCTAAGAGTGTTGTCATTTGATATCGAGTGTGCCGGTAGGAAAGGTGTCTTTCCGGAAGCAGACAAGGACCCCGTTATTCAGATTGCGAATGTTGTTACACGGTATGGTGAAGATAAGCCATTTGTTCGGAACGTGTTTACAATGGACACTTGTTCACTCATTATCAACACTCAAGTATTCGAATTCTCAAATGAAGCTGATATGTTATTAAAGTGGAGGGAATTTTTAATTCAGGTGGATCCGGATGTCATCATTGGTTACAACATCGCCAATTTCGACTTTCCATACTTACTAGATCGCGCGAAGCATCTTAAGATCCATGATTTCCCTTACTGGACTCGTCTCTCAAAAACCAGGGTGGAATCAAAAGACACAAATTTCTCTAGTAAGCAAATGGGAAATCGTGACACGAAGGCCACCAATACCAACGGCCGTCTTCAGCTTGACCTTTTGCAATTGATCCAACGTGATTATCAACTTCGTTCATATACTCTTAACTCTGTTTGTGCCCACTTTTTGGGTGAACAGAAAGAGGATGTCCATCACAGTATGATTACAGAATTGTTCAACGGAACGCCTGAGTCCCGGCGGCGTCTTGCAGTTTACTGTCTTAAGGATGCTTATCTCCCCCAAAGATTGCTTGATAAACTCATGTGTCTGGTTAATTATACAGAGATGGCCCGTGTTACCGGTGTTCCATTCAATTACCTGCTTGCCCGTGGACAGCAAATTAAGTTTCTGTCACAGATCTTTCGAAAAGCCGCTGAACAACAGTTGGTTATTCCTAATCTAAGACAGGAGGGCGGCGATGAGCAGTATGAAGGTGCTACAGTTATCGAACCCACTAGAGGTTACTACGATGTTCCTATCGCAACACTTGATTTCGCGTCTCTATATCCTAGTATTATGCAGGCGCATAACCTTTGTTACACAACACTTGTTAAGAAAGAAGTCGTCGAGAGACTTGGGTTGGAGAAAAATAAGGATTATACGATCACTCCGAATGGTGATTGGTTCGTTAAAGCCACTGTTCGAAAGGGGATGGTACCTTTGATTCTAGAAAATCTTTTGAGCGCTAGAAGGAAGGCCAAAGCAGACTTGAAACACGAGACAGACCCCTTTAAAAAGGCTGTACTCAATGGTCGTCAGCTCGCGCTGAAAATATCTGCGAATTCTGTCTACGGTATTACCGGCGCCACAGTCGGGAAACTGCCATGTCTCCAGATTGCCTCTTCTGTTACCAGCTATGGTCGTCAGATGATCGAGAAGACGAAAGAGGAGGTTGAGAAAAAATATACTATCGCGAACGGATACTCCCACGACGCTCAGGTCATCTACGGTGATACTGATTCCGTGATGGTAAAATTCGGAATGGGGGACCTCCCTACTGCTATGAAGCTAGGCGAGGAGGCTGCACAATATGTGTCGAGCAAGTTTATTACACCGATCAAATTAGAGTTTGAGAAGGTGTATTTTCCGTATTTGCTTATCAACAAGAAACGTTATGCTGGGTTGTATTGGACCAGAACCGATAAATATGACAAGATGGATACTAAGGGTATTGAGACTGTGCGAAGAGACAACTGTAGATTGGTACAAGTCTGCATTGAGACCGTGTTGAGGAAAATGTTGATTGACCGAGATGTTGAGGGAGCACAAACGTTTGTTCCTAGTTTTTCTCACATTTAGGTTACATGTACTAACTTGGTGTTTTTAATCGCAGATACGTTAAGGACATGATATCAGATCTGTTGCAGAACAGAATCGACATGAGCCAGCTGGTGATCACCAAAGCTTTGTCCAAGTCAGACTACACAGCTAAGCAGGCGCACGTCGAGCTTGCTGAAAGAATGAGGAAACGTGATGCCGGTTCTGCGCCTACACTTGGAGATCGTGTCGCGTATGTCATCATCAAAGGCGCAGGTGGTGCAAAGAACTACGAGAAATCTGAAGATCCGATTTATGTTCTCGAGAACTCCGTCCCTATTGATACGAAATATTACCTCGACAATCAGCTTGCGAAGCCCTTGACTAGGATCTTCGAGCCTATTCTTGGAGAAAGGAAGGCGCAATTACTGTGTTAGTCCTCTACCCCTTCCCTTCATTGCTTACCTCCAATACTAACAAACACGATAGTGACTGGAGACCACACCCGTACAATCTCAGTTAGTGCACCCACGGTTGGTGGACTGATGAAGTTCGCTAAAAAGACCCAAACCTGCATGGGGTGCAAAACTCCGCTCACAAAAAAAGCCGAGGCCGATGGCGCTGTCTGCGAGAATTGCAAACCACGCTTCGGAGAGCTGTATCAGAAGACACTCCAAAAAGTATCCGATTTAGAAGTCAAGTTTGGACGACTCTGGACACAGTGCCAGCGTTGCCAAGGATCGATTCATTGTGAAGTTATTTGCTCTTCAAGGGATTGTCCGATTTTTTATATGAGAATGAAGGCAAGGAAAGATATTGAAGATGTAGGGAAGGAGTTAAAGAGATTCGATGTGGACGTTAGTTGGTAGAGAGAGACGTGGGATTACGTCTGGAACTTGTGTTATTTTTTGATCGTTTTTAATGGATGTAAAGAGATTTTCGGAACAGTATCGGCAACGAATGCATAGCCTTGTGACTGTAGGAGGGGCGCGGTAGTTATTAAGTGATACATGTACTTTTTCTTTAGTTCGTATGTAAAATAGAGGTTTGGTCAAAGGGAAAATTGGGGCTCTTGAATCCTGACAGAGACTCAATGGTTATTTGAATAGAAGTATAGTTACATAGGCCATGCCTATTGTAGATTTCAAAGTCCTCCTCAGGCTCTTCATGATATATCACTCGAAAATTCATTTATATATTATGTACACAGCTATGGACCATGCCTGTCCTAGGAATAATTATAAAATATATTTATGGGGTGACTCATAAGTTATATTTAAAAAAAAACCATATTGATACTCTATTTTCTTTTTTCAATTACATGTAATTACTGTTGTGCACAAGCTCTATTGTAAGAATTTAAAAAGGGAAGGCCTTTCCGGTCGTCAAATAAATAAATTAAAGCTTTTCTGAAAGGAAATCCTCGTTACATTCCTCGTAACAATACTCGCACGTCAATTATGTATCTGCTTAACCAGCAAAACACACTAAAAATCGAGGTTTTCAACAACTCATAAAAAGTCCCACACCTAAACCAAAATATCAACGACCAAGTATAGTATAATTTTGATAAAGGAGGACCATGTTTCAAATTCTTGGCCCAATTGAGATACTGGTACTAGTAAAGGTGCCATAAAAGGACCCTTTTAGACACATTTCACCTTCAGGGCTTGTCCTTTGTAGATATGGCCTAAAAGTGGCCTGTAGAGTCTTTCAGGTGTCTAGATAGAAGACATAATTTCAGGGGAGATGGGAAAGCTCTCTGGATTCTGTGTGTGTTTTGCTGGTTGCGCAAATACATACTTGATATGCGAGCCTGAGTAAACCTCGAGAGTGTAGTTGTGATAAATTTCGTAGGTTTTGAAAGGTGGTATTTGTTGGCACGAATGGATAGATGATTTATTAGTTGGGGGTGAGAAGGATAAAAAAGAAAGAGGAGCACATGTAGGTACAGCGCCGGACAGTCAAAATCAACCCTCATGTTCTTTTCAAGCCAGAAATTAGTCCTAATCGGGTAATAATAATCATCGAATCATCCCAATAGGGTAAGAATTATCCCGATTAGTGTGGCCGCCTTGGCATAAAGCTATTAAAGTTATTATTTCACACCTATGTTTTTTTCGGGCAGATTGCACCAAATGTTTGAGAGGTCATAGTGCAGCCAGTTCTTAATTATTTTAAATCCCCTTTAATGGGGATGTTTACAACCATGATTAGACCCATTATACAAAAGAACATTATTTTTGGACAAGTGTTGCGTTGTTGAAAGTCGATGGGGTGAAGGGGAGTCGGTGGTTGCTCTGGCCGGCTGGTTTTGGCTGTCCGACACCGTACAGCAACCCGCTAGGATGAGCCCCCCTGAGGACGAGGATTACAACTCCCCCCCCCGCTCCTGTCAATGATCAACAAACCATATTGTATTGACCCTTGTTGTAGGATCAAGGTATAGCAGCATATCTTAGCTTTTGTGATATTCTTAACCAACACGGCATCCGTTGCTTTAACTAAAAATTGTTGGGGCCCGAAGGGCCACTGGGGGCGGGAGACGATAATAAGCCTCGGGGAATCTCTCCACTCGAAATCAGATCTCGACAAGACAGCGCAAAAATTGTCTTTGGTCTGATAACATTCTATCCAAATGCCTGTATCTGATGTTGGGCTCGGTCGGGTATAATGCTTTTCTAAAGCGCTAGAACTATTTCAGCCTTGGTGATCCTGAACTCTTGTGTGTCTGGTGAAAATCTAAAAGAGAACAGCTTTTCTTCGTGAAAAGGCTTACGCCAGTGACTGAGGTAAAGGTTTAATTTATCTTAACAGAAAAATAGACGTGAGAATAAGCAGTGTTACCTCAGGTTGAATAGGTTTTATCCTCATGATAATCCTTGAGAGTTTTGTCAGGCAGTGTACGTTCCATCAGTCAGAGTACGAGTGACTTTCTTTTTGGCTCGGTATTCATTTGCGCAGGGATCCTGGTGCAAGATTCAGCGATTTAGTGGTTTGTTCGTGATTCCCTCCGAGCATTCGGCCCCGCCTCATACCAGTGCACTCGCAATAGTGGAAATGTAACATAGCTCCCCAGAATACTGGAAAGCAAAGTTCTAAGGAGCAGCACTTCCCAAAGCAAATTTGCCCCTTCATAGCGAAGCGGGTTCAACTGAGTAAGTATAAGGTGATTGACGCTGACGATTGGTTTGAAGAGGCGCATCGTCGGCGTGAAGCACGGTGACGATGCATGTAAAATTCCAAGATGAGCTCACCGAAATTTTTGCACCTGAGAATTCTAGCTGGGGAAAAAGCTATATACCGGCCGACCTACTCTCCCAAGTTATTAAAAACAAGAAGGAAGCCAAGAAAGTAAATACTTGAGCACATATTATATAGGCTTAAATGAATCATCCTTCCTCTGTTTCCGGGCACTGTGGTACATATGAGGAGTATCTATAGTGGTATGCTAGATTGTATTTTTGGCTATTCAGAAGATCTTCCGGCCGCCGAGGACTTATCACACCTTAAACCCTAATCTGGTAACCCTCCTCGAAGCTACCCACTCAGGGCATCAATCAGGTACCGGGAGATAAACTCTATTTTTTACTGGCTAGTCAAAATGTTAGTGTCGAGTAGAGTAGAGCGTTGCAGTGATGCCCACATCCTGTTTCCAAAACGTGTCTTTTTTTTTTTTTGATTGAGAAATATTCCTAGGCCCGCTGGGTAGGTTTGTATGTCGTAGCTGCGCATACGACGACCCTTAAGCTCTACATACAATACTGTATCTATGATAGTCTGAAGATGCTCTGTGTAGCGAGATGCAAACCATGATCCGTTTACCAAATATCAGGGATAATGACTTCCAGCCAGTCAAATTAAACATTCCATTATTGAGCCGCAATCCAAACAGATGTCTTTTAGCCGCATGATGTCATCAGACACCCTGGGATACCACCGGCCAAGTATCAACCTACTTTACAACAACCAACCACACAATATTACGTACTTGAACAGGAAGTTTGCCTGAATAATAATAAACAGTCGAATTGTCAAAATTTATGACGTCAGGCGCCCGATTTTCTGTAGAGTTGGATCTATAAAATGGCATCCTCAAGGCCTCTCGCATTTCAACACTATTGCCGCTCCTACTCCTAGAAAGATTTTAGTATTCTTTGTCGTTCGCTCATTATGCTTGCGCTTCTCCCAGTGTTGGCGTTATTTTCGTACGGAGCTCTTTGTGTCCCTACGGATCTTATTGTTCGAGACACTTCAACAGACCTTGTCGCCAGGAGTATTGTAGATGACTTTAATAATTTTATCTCTAGTGCTTCCGATAAAATAAATGTGGATGATATCAAGCAAGGCATCCTCCCGGATTTCTTTTCAAACATTCCAGACGAGCAAGAAATCAAGGATCAACTGGGGCTCAATGACACTCAAATCGATGAGCTTCCTCTCGAAGTCTTAAACATCCCGTTCGTAAACCCCCACCCTATTCTCCTTTTGCGCCCTATTCTCCTTTTGCGCCCTAAACTAACTACCTATCCAGTGGCTATGCAAATTACACAGGCCGCGGCTGGAACCTGCGTATTCACGGACAGGCATACAAGCAGCCTCTATCTCCAAGAGCTACAGTCTCAAATGAGACTCTTGATAAGGCAGCAAATGTTTTCCTTCCGGATTTAGACATAGACCAGCTGCAACCGCATGAAAAAGACAATGCGAGAAATCTTACGAGCGCCATTTTATCTTTACCGCAGGAGGATGTACAGTTGGTTTTCACATTGAATGTAGCAGAGGGTCAGAACATCAGCGGCGGATGGAACGGGGAAATACAGTGGGGGAAGTTAACTGATTCAAGAGGTATGTTTATAGCATCTTTATTAGAAGAAACGAAATTAATAAATATGTAGGAGAAATTGATGGTTTTGTTCAACTTCCCGCGAGTGCGAACGATTTGCCCCCTGGTAACACTACCACACAAATCACCAGGTTGGATATTCATACAAATGGCACTGACAGTAAGGTTCTCCTAAACCCCTTCTAATAATAGGAGGCTCACTATTGTTCAGCTGGTAATGCAACTGGGTATCTTGTACCCAACCAAGGGATCACGATCATCTCCGACATAGATGACATCCTGCGTGTTACCAAGATCTACCAACCTCAAGAGGGCTTATTTAACTCATTTGCTCGTGACTTCGTCCCTTGGTTAAATATGCCTTCTATCTATGACACTTGGTCGACTCAACACCCTGAGAACCCATACCACTTCCATTATCTCACTACTACACCAGAGCAAGCTACGAGGGTCTACATGCAGTTCATCTATCACACATACCCCGTGGGATCCTTTGACACCCGCCCTCTGAATTTTACTACCGTCGATCAGACATTTTCCGTCAGGAAGACCTTGCTAAATAAGATTTTTGAGACATTTCCGCAACGTCGGTTCGTGCTTGTCGGTGATACCACGAATAACGATGTCATGAAGGATTACCCAGAGTTGGTGACACGTTTTCCAGGCCAGGTTGCTTGCATCTTGCTGCGGAATACTTCCGCTACAGATAGTGGAAATAAGTTCCCCTATGATACAAGTGGATTTAAGAACCTGAAACAAGAACAGTACATGTTCTTTAACATACCAGATGATCTTACGGGACTTGATTTTACGAGAGGAGACTGTCGGAATGACAGTGCACAGCTGGGTACTGTAGAATTTGGATGGCAGGGGTTACCTTTTGATATAAGCAGTGCTATTAGTAGGAAGGGAACAGCAACAGTGTGGTCTGCACTTTTTATGACAGTGCTTGCAGTATTTTGGTGATAGTCGAGGGATTTATAGGTTGTTCTTTCTTAAACATGACTATTATAGTGGTCTACCTTTTGTAATTGAGTTTTAATATCCGCGGGCGGGTGATGGTGATTATGACACGAATATCATAATGCGCAAAAGCAATTCAAAAATAGTTCATTGTCACGTCCGGCGGTCCATCATACATATTCATTTATTTAGCTTTCCCCTCTAGTACGGTGCCTGTATATAGCTCGATGTCTTTACATACGCACCGTTGAGTTTATGTACTTATGTATGCCGCGGTGCCAAAACATACATTCATTACGGATGTCAGGAGATTATATGACTCGAATATAAACACGGGGGGCTAGTATACTTAATCAAGTAATGGTGCAAAATAAACACAGTACCAGTCGCTGTAATGTTATTAAGGTCTTAGCAGTGATAGTTGCCAAGCCTCTCGGCCTGATACAGTACAATCTCCTTATAATAGGGTTCGGGTCACAAGGGTATTCGCCTTATAAGGGTAGGTGTTGGGGTCCTCATTGGGCTTCGTAGGTACAAATTTGCTCCTCGGCCTATGAGGGTAACCGCTCTATAAGGGTAAATTTCGGCCCCGACGTACCCTATTCCTCAACAGCGAAACTAGCCAACAAGATACCAAGTGAATTTATGGTACTTTAGAAGGTGAGGATCATAGTTTTGGTAAGAATTATCATGAATAGCTGCTGCTTGTCCTTTTATCACTGTTGTTTGTCGGAAGTTACCCTTCTGTAGGCTAAAAACCCCAAAGTAGTGACTTGCAAAAGCGCTGATTCTATCCTCAAGACTCATGTATCATGGGTATTATCAGAATATCTAGTTAAAACGTTGAAATCCGGGTGCCTTTCGGCGTTGCTAAGTCAAACATTGCCTCACTTATCGGGACCCTTGGGTACACTCAGCGAACGCTTGCTAAGGGCAATAATCTCCTTTATGGATACAAGATTCTGGTCTTTAGCGTACCTTTATAACAAGTTTTCACTGTGTGTCAGGAATAATCATAAATCGCTCATGTATTTACTAATACTAGTACTCTGCATCCATCGTGATCCCGAGTCATATCTCATGATGCACATAGTCCCTAGTCAGACTACATGTAGATAAACTATATAACGTATTTTTACAATAGACTCCAAAATACACTCTCGTTCACATATCCAGACCTACTCGTTATTTATCACATGTTTATATGAGGAATAAATTACTGGAACAAGGTTATTATTGCATTTTTATTATACAAGGCACTGATACGGGCACAATACCCTTACTAACTGGTTTCTTAGAATAAGGCGTATAAACCCTCGCGGCCCGTAGAACATAATCGCCACTTAAGCCCCCCCCAAAAAAAATTAATATGCAGGCCCAACCAATACATTCCTCTCCGTATAGCTTTCCGGGCCATGTGGTGTCTTGACCCTTTCAGAACTTCCGGTCCTCACGCCAAACTCCAACGGCAGGGGCATCGATGCCTTTCTCCCATTATCACCCATAATGTCTCCGTTACCATACGGCTCATATACGCCTTCCTCGTACGTATGGCTAATATTGACTGTACGTGGAGTGGCTTTATTTCGTTGCTCCAGTTCTAGGGCAGGCATCCTCCGCTGTACTTCCTCGTTTTTAGCTTCGCCAGTGTCTCGGACCATAAAGCTACTTTCATTTCTCTCATCGGGGACCAAGTCGCCCCTCCACACCTCCTCCCATCCTTGACGCTCTGCTTCCTCGGCGGTGATCTCAACGAAATTTCCGTTGGGCGTTTCGAGGTAATGTTTCTTGGGAAGACGCTCTATGTCGACGATGGGTTGAACAATGGGGTGGATTTCTGTGTGATGAATCTCGCGAGTTATGACGGTCGTTATTTCTTCGTTCTCGACAGGGCGGATTACGGTATGTATTACCGCTGGTCCTAATTAGTGAGTGGATGAAGTCATGGAATATAGGTTTGTGGCTTACGATCTAGTGTCTCTTGGTGAATTGATGTGGTCTCGGCGGAGGTTTCTCGTCCGGGATTACGATATCGCTGCTCTTCCTCTAGTGTGATTTCTTGGGCTATTTAGTTATTGATCTTGGTGTTTACATGCATTTATGAATAGTTTTACCTTTAGCCCCAGCGCGCGAGTAAACATACTCGTTCTCTTGTCCCCCTCTCGTTTCACTCGCACTGATGCCATTATACTCACGTGCGGGCTCATTGATCAAACTTTCCACCTTTGGACCCGTATCAACATTCTGCGTATTTATAAAACTGGGAACCACCCCTAGAGGGGGTCTGGGGAGAGGACGAGAAGGTCCCGCAGTTTCCGGAGGTGCTGTTGTTGATTTCGGTGGAAATCGTTGTTTGCGAAGATCACCGTCGTACCGTTGCCCATAGTAGACTTTAGAAGTAGGGCGGCTGTTGGGATTGAGGGATTGTGTTATTGCTATCCAAGTAACAACGTTAGTTGAATTAAATTTAGGATACTAAGGTTTCAGATTACTTACAGTGGTTCGAGTAATCACTGGTTTGGCTATCGTCAGAAGAATTTCGACAAAGTTCATTTCTCAGCTGAGGCTGTGTGATGCAAAGACGAGTGAGTATTAGTGTTGCATGTAAAATCCGGAAAGCAACGACCTACTGGTGAATTTCGATTCTCGTCGGCGGCTACGGTATCCAGAGTTTGTTCATGAGTACGAAGCGGTTCTGGCTCGATTAGTGTAGGAGAAACAGCCTCCGAAGGATTCCCATAATCAGTGATATGAATATGTCCAGGATTATTGAAAATGGTACCTGAGCGAACTGGCTCAGCCGGGCCAGGTTCATACCCCGAATCACGAGGTATGTGGGGGTTTTGATCATTATCAGCAATAAACGTAGGTTCTTGCTTCGTTTCTTCGCCCCCTTCCCCCTCCGCTACTCTTATTGTATCTGCTCCCACTCCCATTAATCCCATTCCCGTTCCTATTCCCACTCCTGCTCCTGCTCCTGCCCCTGCCGCTCTGGATATTAGGGTATCTTCACGAGAACTACGAGATTCTCTTGCCTGGGGAGCAACCAATAGTGCTGGGGCTATTGCAGATTCCGAAGCCCCAGTCCGTGTAGGCGGAGAACGCATTCGAGGGGCAATAAGCCCAGAGTCGTCTTTTTTGAATTTAGACCCCCCATGCCCACAAGGTAATCTCAAGAGTGCGCTCTTAATTTTTCTACCTAGAGGCATCTCTGTAACCGGAGGTGTTCAAATGTCGTCTTTCGAAGGTTGGGATACCAAAGATTTTTTCGAAATTTAGGAATTAACTGGAAAGTGGGAGTTTAGGATTTTGGAACAGAGTAGATGTGATATGCTCAAGTAAGACCGGTGTGAAAGATTCGGCTCTCAAGAAACGTCACAGCAGAGATCTAAAAAGTCTAGCCCGCTCAAGCTTTCCTCTCGCCTTGAAACAAACAGGATTATCCGGCTAGTACTTGCCCTTTCACCGGTTACCGTAGACGAAAGACAAGAGGCCCCGATACCCGTTGGGTGATCCGATTTCCCATGACCTCTTCACTCATGCCGAAAGCCACAATCACAATACCACTTCTAACCAAAACACACTTCTCGTTGCCAGCAGAAGAATCAAAAATCTATGCAGAAATCTTGAAATTCCGCATAACTCTCCGCGGATCTTGGATCTCAGCGCTTTGAGTGCCCTTTGTTCCCCTTGCGTCACCAATTAAGCTTAGGTCCTTGTCTGGGGAAAGATAAATGGAAGGAAGGAAGAAAAAGTGGAGTTGGGTGCTCTCCTCGTTTTTTTTTTTGATAATATTCAATTTTCGTCTTTATGACGTGACGTTAAGGTTCACAACGAAGGACATCTCGAGATGTGGAGAATTCCTTGTGGTTCGGATAACTCCCACCCTGCTACAAACTCTACTAGCCATTGGTAGTTTAATTACTCCCCTGTGGTGATCAATGACGATCGAATCCCCAACCGCAAGCAAATCACCGACTTGTCGATATTGGTCCGCCAAGTCTCTACATGCCGCGCTCGTAGGCGCCAAGACAGCCACAAAGCCTACAAACGGATTACATTCCATCGAGTAACCTTGAAATGAAAAATAGGTTTCAGATATGTGCTTTACTCGCGTCAGGGAAAAAGAACCAGAACATGCAAGTGAGAAAGCAGGGATTATTTGTATGGAGTGGCGCTGAGCTGCCATACAAACTAGGCATTTGCATGTTCTGGTTCTTTATCCTAGACGCGAGTACACCACGAGTAGAGTAACATAGTTAGTGGAGAATGAGTGATAAACCTGCGAGTGCAAGACTATGACGATTGCATCTTACAAACCCGATCCAGTCCTCTATTCACTAATTCAATTCTCCACAATCATCGGATTGTCCACCGGCTCAACTCCCAAACTCCACAATTTCCAAACAACCTGGTTTTTACGCCTCACCCCCAATGAGCGCATCTTGACCTCAGAGGCTTTCCCGCGATTGCTAGTCAGTGATATGACGTCTATTGGGGCTTTCGATGTATATAATGACCCTTAATGGGAAGTCTTTACTTCTCTCGCCATCACAAATCAACTTCTAGTTACGAACACCACCTTAAAGACTATTACTACTACTAAATTTGAACTACCAATTTACTCACATCACATTAAGTCAAAATGCAGTCCATGAAGAACGCCGCTAAGGAATTCATGTAAGTGTCTCTACCGGACGAAGACATCACGAGAGTCATTATTTACTCTTTATGATCTCTTTATTATTCTTCCAATAAATTTGTATTTCACCGCTAGATCGAGTATCACCGCTAACTCTCACTTTCTTGGCCATCTGACAGTTCCCGTGATAAGAAACATGATACCGAAGTCAGGGAAACCTTTAATCCGGCTGTAACGAAGGAGGTCATCATTCCAAAGGAGACCGAGGAGACCACCATCGCCGTTGATCGAGAACTACATCAGAGGCATTATCAGACCAGAGTGCAGCCCATTGAGGACAAGGAGGTTTTACCGGAGGAGCACAGGCATCAGGTTATGCCAGTTGAGACCCGTGTCACCAAAGATGCTGACGAAGACCTCGTAAGGAGAAGGCTTGAGGAAGAGGTAGGCATCAATTTTATCCCCCAACATAACAGAATTTACAATATGGCAGTGTCAAATAATCTAACCTTGCCAGAAACTGAAATTCAAATCTACTCGCGAGGTTCTTCCCGTCGAGCATACCAACATTGCCGGCGCTACCATCACCGGCGAGCACGCCCACCATCATGTTTATGAGCAAGTTCAACCCGTTATCGAGCGTGAGGTTATCCAGCCTGCCGTTATCCACACCACTGTTCCAATCCACGAAAGAATCGAGCACGCCCCTACCTTCCATCCCGTAACCGTCCAACCTAAGATGACGCTCGAGGAATACAGACGTGCCGGTGGTGTTCTTGAAGGCCGCAACGAGACAATCGACATGTTTGAGGGCGAGCCCGAGGTTAGGGAAAACGGTGGGGCTAACCAGACACACCCTGATGCTTACGGACACGGAAAGCATCGCCATCACCATTCAGGCCATTCCTCACCTGTTCCGGGAATCAACAACCGCAGTGTTCCCGCTCACTAGTAAGCGATGCACTGCTATAATTGATATGTATTACGCTGGAGATGACGATACGATGGATGTGAATGGGCAAGCTGCCCTTGTAATATTATTTGCTTTGACGAGATCAATTCTAGGATTGTATTTGTAGTATGCAGGGGAGAATATCAGCTAGTTGTTTTGTTGTCCACCGTCTTTCTTTTTTGTTTGATATCGATGCATATAATGTAACGTATTCTTTTTTCTCGTTACACAAAAGATCATCTCCAGAAGAAATCCGCAGTTATGTACTGGATCTCATATATGCATACCGTGAAATTTTGGTTACGATTGATCTTTATACTGCTCCGTTTCCAATTGCTACAACGTATAGGGTATATTTGACAGATAAGTTAAATAGATCTTAAACCCCCTGTCAAGGCAATTTCGATCTCGTTCGACCCGTCCCAGCATTAGGAACCTACTCTACTTTGGGTAACCAGGCATAAAACTTGGTTTCTTGGAACTTTGTTACACAACGCTAAACTAAAACAAGTAATACCGTATCAAGGCAAGTTCGCGGAACACATCCGCAACAACGCACTGAGGGACCTATCTTAAATTTTAATAGCGGATCGAACTGGAGTGAGGGAAATTGTTAATTCGATTATTCTCCACAGCGTTATTTCACTTATGGGCTAGGAGTGTACTCTAGAAGCAATTATTACACAAGCCAAGAAAGAAAGAGTGTGTTGTAAAACCGAAGCGTCGATCACAGATGATCACTCGTGCCAAGTGATAGTCATGTAGTCGCATTCCCGGGCTATTGAAAACCCCTCATCCGAACACTGGCCCGGATTGTTGACACAGAGACCGGGAAGGTCTCTGACTTTTATAAACACAGATTTAAAGCATTTGAATATCACTCAAAGAATAGGTAGAAATGTTTAGCGTAAGCTTCACGGAATCAACCGCAATATTATTTTTCGGGGCACGATAAATATAGTACAAAAAACTAGCTATCTAAAATATCCATCCGCCATATAAACAATTTCTCGACCGCCGCTCCGGGTCAACCAGATTAGGATTAAGGCCTTCTAATTTCGCATTTAGAAGGTGAGGGTGGCACCAGCGGTTCCGTAGACAGCAGAGTAGACAGCGGATGCCGCGACCTTGGTGTATGAGTAAGGAACCGACTTGAGGGTACCAGTAAGGGCTGTGTTCTCGCCATCACCGAAGTCGTTGCCAGAAGCGTACTATTTGATTAGTGTATTAGTAGTTGAAATCGAGTAAGATAATAATATCTAGGAAGAGAGGAACTAACAGCGTAACCAGCATCGGTGGAGTAAAGAGGCTTGTCAGAGTCAACGAAGACGTTGTTCTCAACCAACAACTGCGCACCCTGGCGGGTGTTGATACCATCGGAGACAGAGAGGTAGTAGTTGTTGTAGATGTGACCGGTACCGAAACGGAAAGAAGGACCACGGGAGTTCAAGTTGTAGAAGAAGTTACCGACGTAGGTGACAGTGAGATGACCCTTGTCCTCGGAACCGTTAGAGTCAGAGTGACCGACGAGGGATGCCTTCCAGTGGTCGTGGAGGAAGTTGTTGGAAAGGGTAATGTAGTCAGAGGCGTGGGTGACATCGAGGAGTCCATCGTAATAATCCTAAAAGGTGCCATGTGTTAGGAATTGATTAGGTCGGAATTAATTCCCGGCAATTGGTAGCTTACTTTGTCGTGGTCACGGTCAGAAGACAGATCGCAATGGTCAACCCAGACATTCTTGGAAGCCTGGATACCGATGGCATCACCGGCAGTAGCGAGGACCTTCTTGATGGTCAAATTGCGGATGATAACGTTCGAGACGCCGTTCACGCGGAGACCAACGCCAGAGAGAACTATCAATGATATATTAGTATAGTTTTCCATGGATCCACAGCTCAATTGCCAAGATTGATAATGCAAGAAAACATACCGGCGTTAGAGTTGGCACCAACGATGGTCTTATCAGATGCAACCTTGATGACAGTGTTACCAGTAATGGTTCCCTTAACAACAATAACCTTCGAGCCGGACGAAGTTGCCGCAGTCTGAAGGGCAGCAAGGGAGGAAACAGTGGTGGTAGAGCCACCGGCACCACCTTTGGTACCGCCATTCTGGGTAGCGTAACCTACAGAGGCGGCATCGGAGGCAGTGGCGCGCTTGTTGAGCTTTCCAACGGAAGCAGGTGCGGCTGCAACGAAGGCAGCGAGAAAGCTGACGGAGAAGATTGCGAATTTCATTTCAAATGAGCTTTGTGTGTATTGAAAAGTAGCGTTTTTCCTGAAAACGAGTGTGGAAAGGTAAGAAGGGAATGGAAAGAGAACGTTGTTCAAGACTAGCTGTGAATGAATGAAGAGAGTGAACTGGACTGGTGAGAGAAAGGCACTAAGGGGGAGGAATGGAAGCTTTATATAAGACTTTCCATATATTAACAAACCCAAAGGAGAAATACAACTATTGGAGATTCCAGGGTAAATTCCAGGGTGACAGAGATCATGAAAGTAAAGCCGTGCCCTTACTACTATGTATCGTCACATTTTTTGAAAATTTGTAATAGTAGGAATTAATGTATTTTGGACATCTAAGCCAGGTACCGGGAAACTCCTCAATAGATTGGGTCGAGTAGAGATATCGTAGCCGACAGGTTGGTCCAGGGACCATGTTCCTGAGTATCGTGCAAGATGTAAGTACCTACATGCACGTACTAGTTACATGTAGCTATTATTCTCAATTAACTCCATTGCTAGCAGCAATCGGATCTCAAAGCGGGTCCAGTATACGTAGGCAATCACCCAACTCTTTGGGCCGTCAATCACGCATTTATGTGCCAGGGGTGCATAATATATTGGAACTTAATCTCAACCTCTTGGCCTTATCTTGGCAGGCATCTAAACGAAACGCGGAGACATACAACCACATTACTCGGTTAAGATCCGACCCTGCAAGAGAAAGCCACACAGTTAGCAACACAACTGAAGGCGTTAGGACCCAGGGAAAGGGGGGGTTATCTTGCACTTCACACTGACGTGATTTTGTCCCTCCACCCATTCCACCGAGATAGCGAGCAATTCTGAAACTCCTACTTAGCTCAAGACAGCGGCGGCAAACAGTGAGTAGAAACAACATGTTTCATGAAGCGGTGGAACCATCGTGCTCCCTCTAGCTTGGGATTAGTAGCCTAGTTTGACCTGTAGACATCCCGTGGATTCCAGGTTCCCGAGAAGCTTGTAGTCTTCGATCAGGTATTCAATGATCTCACCGTTAAGCGACATCGATCCTAATACACTGCAGTGGGAAAAATACAACTACATAGTCCTGACATATCGGCTGAGAGTTTCAAGTATCAGCCCAAGGAAAGTTTTACTGCTGATCATGATTTCTCAACGAAAATCCAGCATCCAGATCCAACCTAAACACATGATGAGCGATAATTCAGTTGTCACCTCGGTATTCTATGGACAGATGAATCTCCGATATTCTGTCCGAGCCTGTTTAGAGCTCAGGTCGGTCTTCGGGATAGTTGCAGGAGCAGTGCGGAATGTAAGAACACGACCCGGTCTTACAGTACTCGTACTTCGAATTACGATAAGAAAACTAAGCACAGACAATGCTACTTTGCATCTCTACCCAAGTATCTCCCCGACACGACATTCAAAAGGGGGCCACGAAACAGCAGGAAAAACTTAGATTACAAATGCGCACACTATCTACTTTGATTTTTTAACATATCACTATCACTAAACGAGATCCATAGATCGGAATTAGAATATACAAAACCTCCTATATGATCATATAATCGGTCTGAATAGCTGGGTCGACATAACCCGGGATATCATAAAGGGGTAAAATGGGATGCAGAAGGCTTAAGCTATGTCCTTCGGAATACTATGCGGATTAAACCCCGTAAATGGAATTAGGCTCTATGGTTAAAAAGAAGCTACCCGCGCAATCGCAGGTTTCAATGATCTGGGTTGAAGGATCAAGAGATAGCCCGGTATTCCTCCCCAAACGGCCCCCCTAGGTTCAGAGATATGGATGGAAACTTCCGTACATATACTCCGAAGGTGGCGTATTGTGGGGTAAGTCAAACCGTTATTCTCGGCGCACTCAACAACCGATGACTGGGATCTGCGACCCGAGAGCTTTGGCCTGTCGGGCTGAGAAAATATGGTACCATTTTGAAAACCAGGCTCTAGATCCTCTTAATAGCTATATGTTGGTCCGTATCAATCACCCATCCGTCGACATATTGCAGAGTCTAGAAGCACACGTTGATTTAAATTTGAGGGCTATGGTTTGTGATTTGAGGGCATTAAGGGATAGGGGTTCAGTCAAATCGTCTAGCATATGGTGCTTTTCGAGACAACTAGGTATTAGTGAAGATGAGCTTTTCACGAATAGTTTCCAACTACATACTTTGACTGGGTATTCTACACGTAAACAATATAAATTCTCGCAACTCAATAATTCTGACCTCAGCACATGGGCACCAGTCTCCCAATAAAATTCACCAACTCCTTGGTTCCTTGGGTGGATTCGATCGGTCTAATGCCAAAATTTTAAAGGAACTCATGATTGTCCGTTGATACATATTTTGCGCGGAACATATTAGTACGTTTGCAATCCCATTATCTCATGGGGCTCTTTAGATAAACGCACCAAAACTTTGTACGAATGTTGTAAAGGAAGGGTTTTCTTCAAAACCAATTTCGACCCGGAAAAAACCCGCCTGACAGCTAGAAGTGTAGATTTTCCATGATGTAGCAATATTCATGGTTATCTTGCCGTAGCTTCGAGTTCCGGAGGACAATAATCAACTATGGTACATGGTGCCAGTTTACACTCACGGCGTACTCGCTTGTTAGGTCGGAATTCTGTGTGGGGATTTTGTTATAACGACTTCCGACCTTTTAAATAACGAGCGAGTAAGCGATCGGTTACGTTTCTATCGGACGAACTAGAAATGAGTGATACTTTATGATCCCCCAGTAATAACGGCGTAGACCCGACGCCTGTTGCCAAGCTTCATAACACGTCACACGAATATCGGCATCTTGGCAAATTATCGGTCAACTTCTCGAGTGCATGGAATACCGATATTACACTACTACATGATCTTACGCTCGGGGTTTTCTAGGGTAAAGTGTATACATAAAGTGTGGCACAGCTACTAAATCCTGAAGATTCTTATGGCAGTCCCAATCGGCAACGAAGAGCGTCGGAAGACACAAACTTGTATCGTAAACACAATTAAACTCCTTGTACCTGATGGTGTTCTTAGCACCGAGAGTTGAGAGATCACAACCCAACTACCTGGTACCGTGTTTGGCACGCAGGTAGGTAGACATCAGAGCACTAGGATTTTAGCACGGAATATGTTTTTCCCGGCCTTGGCATGCACTCCTTTTAATTCTCCGTTGCCCAGATTATCAGGGGTTTGTTAAACAATGCAACCACTTGCGTTTTCAAACAATGCGCGCGGTAAATATTAATTGAACCTTTTTTGGGAACAAATATATTACGCACTGATCCCACAAGCAAGGCTGACTACAGTCCTGAAAAAAAGGGGGAGGATGCAATAGATAGTGTAGCTGTAGCAATACAGCTGCAGTACAATGCTGAGTTAAATGGGTGTAAGAGTTATTATACATTAGCAAATACTGCAGTCTCACGCATGGCATTCTTGGACTATGTATATAATATATGCGTTTTCCCTACACATCTATATCCAGGTCATGCAGATAGCCATGATCAAAGGTCACTCGACTTGGTTTGAAATCCCAAATAGTTTCGCTTTCAATTCTCTTGGCTATATAATATATTAAAACAAACTAGCCTCAACCATGTCAACTCTGGAGCTAGTCTACGGACATCTTTCCGATCCACTTGCAACCTCCGAGTTCAAATTATAAAGCTGGTGTTACCTGATATTGCTAAAATCCGAGTGATTTATAATGAATCTGAATTGCCATGATTTTTCGTCCCTCTTTGAGTGCTAGTTTGACAGTTCATCCATTCGGCAATAACTGATTTATTTGAGATTGATTGGTTGACTCATCCGTAAACACTCCGCACTAGTATTAGAGTCCCGTACGTACACTTCAACATCTTTCTATCCCCTCACTTGTAGAGAAGTCCACTACGTATCCTATTGTATGCATACCTGTACTTAGTACTTGACACTAGGGGTGTGCCACCTCGCGACCGCGGGTTGTTGGATTCTGAGTATTGAAAATATTGGAATATTGGAAGGTATTCGATGGGGTGGACTCCAAACCCTCCACCCCCCCTTCCACCCACTCCACCTCCTCTCCACCTCCTCCACCACCCGCTGTCCTCCACCTCTTCCTGCTCTTCCAGCTCTTCCAGCTCTTCCAGCTCTTCCACTGCCCTCAACCTCCCACTCCATCCAGCTCCCATTGCTCCCAGTGCTCTTAGTTAAAAATTGAATTAAATTGATTATATCTTTAAATATTAGTGCGTGAAGAGCTTCTGCAGCATTATATTTTGGTGGGGTGGGCTGGTTGCCATGCAGAAGTCAGTGAGGGTTAGGGGTTACGGCTCTCGACCAGATGGCAAAGAGTAAATCGACGTGACAGGACAACATACGCTGCCTGATATGATGGGTCGATAACGGTACTCCGTCAGGTAGTATCAAGACTTGTCTCCTCTTATGTTTTATGCATATTGTACTTTATCCTCTTTATCGTCTTTAAGTACATTTAGGTACACAATCACGGATTTACGCAAGAATTGGCATAGTTAACTAAGCACGAGGCTAGAGTACATTTAGTCGCATCATGACATGTTGACTACAGAGTAACAAGCAAACAAGCAATCTTTGAGAATATATAACAAATTCTGAGTCACATTCTTAACTTAGCCTCAGGCCTCCCACGCATGTATTTACAACTTTGGCGACGCCCGCCCATTCGATTTGATCTCATCTATTTTTCCCTTCTGCTCAGGTACCATCGTGAGTAGTGCCCCCTTCTCTATCGCGGACCTAACGTTGTTGATCACCAAGCTCTCCATTTTATGCTGCAATCCCGAAATCGTTCATTAGTTATCTCCCTTCATCATGGCTAGACAGCAAGGTTAGAGGGGGCATATAGCTTACCTGCGACTCATACGTGAATGTTCCGAGATGTGGAAACAAAATGCAGTCATTCCTCCCCATCAGCCCCGGATGTATCTTCGGCTCCTCCTCGAATACATCCAACCCCGCCCCTCCCACCTTCCCACTCTCAAGCGCCTGCACCAACGCATTCTCATCTATCACTGGCCCTCGCGCAGTGTTTACAATTATCACACCATCCTTACACATCCCGAACTCTCTTGCGCCAATATAATGCCTCGTTTTTTCAGTGAGCGGCAAGTGGACACTGATGATATCGCATGTTCCCAAAAACTCTTCGAAGCTGGCGATATACCGTGCACCCGTCGGGTTTGCCTCATCTGGAACGGGCTTACGGTTATGATACACAATATTCATTCCGAACCCTACCGCTCGTACCGCAAGTGCTGTTCCAATACCCCCCATCCCAAGAATACCTAAGATTTTACCGTCAGGATCGTGTCCGAGTGGCTGGTCTCCACGCCATTTTCCGTTTCGGAGAGAGCTTTCAGCCTGGTAAGAGCGTCGGAGGGTCTGGAGTAGAAGCATAATTGCGATGTTTGAAGTCGCAGCATCCACTGCTGTGGGGGTATGAGCAACGAAGATGCCTGATCAGAGCACAATCTTAGTGATTTATTCGCAGAAGGTAATTTGACCAAAGTTACCGCGCTGAGAACATGGCTCAATGTCGATTTGATCGTAGCCAGCTCCGTTATGACATAGGAATTTCAGGCTACTTGGGAGAGTCGAGATAAGTTCCTTGTCGAATCTTCCGGTGAACTGATCCAATTAGTTTCTTCCTATGCCTCAACAATTCAATGCAAATACGAACCTGCGCGGAATCAAAGGTTCTATAGATCGCTACGACACCGTCATATTTACCAGCTTTGAAGTCGGCAAGTATAGATTCGCGAGTTCCGGATATTATTTCCTGGTTCGATAAACTCCAGTTAGGAAGAGTCGATAGGGAAAAAAGTATAGACATAGAGAATAAACCTTTAGATCTGCAATCTCTGCAAGAGCTTGCCATTCCTTCTTTGCGTGGGTGATATTACCAATCAGTAGAGCAATAGGACGAGTCATGACGATAGTACGTTAGATATCTGGATATCCAAAGTTCTATGAGAATAAAGGGTTTTCTAGACAGATATAAGCCAGCTAATCTTGAGGAGCTTGAGCTCAAAGAATTCAGGCGGAATACAGTAAAGACTAGGACCTCGGGCATGATGCGACCACCCCGCATAATTTACCGAAATTGCCCCGCTCGATGAGTTGCATCATTACACATAGATTCTGATTTGGCGTTGACAACCCCCACGTCCCCATTCCCATTACGTGCAGTAGCGTGCGCTATTTTTGTGTAAAGCAACCTCTTCATAGATTCTCACTCGTTCCAAGTGCCTTCCAACGCACAGTTTACTCGAGCTCTTAACATCTTTGCATGAATATACGTCAAGTAGTAAATGCGGATTTTTATTCTATCAGATCTCCTCATTCGGCTTTTTTTTTTTTATTATTATGGAATCACGCCTCAATTCATGAAAGCTACATGTAGTTTAAGCGGATTCAAAAATGTTGGCACCACCCTGTTTCCAGTCAGGGAATCCAAAGTTGATGGGCCATGGCGGAGTAACAAATCTGTCGTTTCATCATCAGCAAGGTTTCTAAACCAAATACATATGTGGTAAATCACGTACCTCTGGGGCCCCTTCTCCTTGTAGATGCTCCCCAATACTTCAAGATCTTCCTCATCAAGCTTAAGCAGCTTGTTGTTCGCCTCGATTCTTGATGGAGTAACAGATTTTGCTAAGACGACAATGCCACGGTTCACTGTCCCCTGAGTTAGAACGGCATTAATCATAAGACAAAGAAATAGCCACTTACCGTGATAATTTAGCAGGACGGCTCCTACATCGACGCCGTGCTTCTCAGCTACTTTCAACACCTTCTCTTCCTTTAATAGTGGTCCACCGGTAGATCCAAGAGGTGAATAAGCGGTTACGAGGATCCCATTCTCCTTGCATAGCGCCACTACGTCATCCTGTGGCAGCAATGGGTGGTTTTCAATCTGGTTTACCGCAGGGACAACAGTTGTCTCTTTAAGAAGCTTGGTCAAGAAGGGAACCGAATGATTGGATACACCGATGGCCTAATCAAAAAGATTTAGTTAGTCCACTTGTTTTAGATAGAAGCCATAAGTAGAAACCTCACCTTAACCTTTCCGCCTTCTAATAGCTTCTCCATCAACTTCCAAGTCTTGATATAATCCCACCCCTCGTGCAAATCACGTCCACCTTCTGGCTTTGTGGGGAATTTGTCGTGGTTTCCATTCGGGTTCAATGGGACAGGCCAGTGCATTAAATACAAGTCGACATAATCCAGGCCCAACAACTTCAGACTCTTGTCGAGTGCCTCCTCTACACGAGAGTGATATGTTGACCAGACCTTGGTGGTGATAAAAATATCTTCTCTCTTTACGCCATTATCAAACGCCTCCTTCAGCCCAGTACCAACTTCCTCCTCGTTACCGTAGCACCAAGCGCAATCGATATGTGTATAGCCTGCTTTCAACAACGCGTGGGCAACAGCCTTTTGAACTTCACCAGCAGGAGCTTGCCAGGTTCCTTTAATGGGAGTTAGTTGATAAACAACAGTCTAGCAAGTATCAGAAAACGAGAATGTACTGACCTAGACCGATCGACGGGATGGAAGCACCAGTGTTAAGTTTGAAGCTTGATGGAACAGACATTGTGAATATGCAAGAGAAACTATAGAGGACTATGAGCGAGCGCAACGATGAAATGATGGGAGGAAGTGGGGAAGGACAGAACGTTTACAGTATTTATACTGGTCTTCTATATGGCTCCAGAATTCTACAGCCGGTATCACACCCTCACACCCTCGCATCTAAAGCAACCTCATGCTCCGAAGCTCATCTCTCGGATGCATCTCTGGATTCATGGCTAGCAATGGCGGGGTTTTGGAGGGGCATCCAGGGTTCAGCTATTAACCGCCCGCAGCCGTCCACCTGGATTCGAGTAGTTTAGTTTGTTTCCTGGTTTTATCCGCTCTCGGAATAATCAGCACCGAGAGAAAAATTTGGCAATAATTCTCTAGTATTCTATCATTCGTGCCTTAAAGTGAGACAGAAGCACGAGAAGGAAGTCGGCTGAGTCCTCGGGCCGTTGCCGACCGAATATTCGTGGGCTTAAAGTTTAACTACCGACGTGGGGGGTACCGGTTGGCATGTACGTGCATACCTGATGCGGATCGGGCAACACCTGGCCGCCGATATAAAAGTTAAAATTTTCAAGACCTTCCTCTCGATCTCGGGCTCGTTCGACGTTCACGCTAATTATATGCATGGACAACCGATTTAATATTTTCTCTAGGTCATATTCCAAGCTAGAAACGTGTAGCAAAAGCTCGCGATCGCCATATAGGAATAATATTCTGAATGGTTTACACGTATAATATCGGACTTTACAACGGTTCCGGGACTTTGAGAAATGCGTGCGCAGGTGCATAGTATTTACCTACTCTATACTCGCGCTACTAGCTTAGGGACTATAGAATTGTGTTCGAATACATGTATGTAAAGTTTTATTGATTATCGCATCCCTCGTCACATGATGAGTTTCTTGGGCGGCTTCAGTTCTAACCCGCACGAGTTACTCATGTATATACGTTACAGCCTCTACTACATGTAGCGGCCCAATGTTTCATCGCCCTAGAGGATAAGCTTAAATTTACCCGAATATGCGTACGGAAGCTTACATGTAGTTATATGTATGCCTAACCTTAAGTACTTTAGCTATGGCTCATAGGTCAAAATTGTAGATGTACGTACCGTACATGTGTCGCTCTAGACTATCAGCAGACAATCTATGGCAGAAGTCCGAGGACGAAACACATGTTCACAAAGTCTAGCCAAGTGCCTATACATGTATCTACCACAAAACTCAACAAAGGAAATTTCTGACTAGGCTCATCGCCGCGCCGCCGACGTTAATTAACTATCTTTAGAGAACAACCCCTATAGCTAACATTAAGCTCGCTAAGAGGTGTTTTTCGTTAGATTGTTTAGTAAAGGGATACCTATTCTACATATACTTTGATCTATCGATATATAGCTCCTATGGCCGTGCTCAACAAAATCTTGGAATGTATCATAACCGTGACGTGGGCTCCATGCAGCATATTGTTTACCACATCAAAGACGTTTACTCTATTCCTAAAGGTGAAGTTCGCGTATCGATATTTACAGATCTGTTCTAGATTGATTAATTGAGCGATTACTAAGTATGTATGTTCCCCAGGCGCATCTTTAGAACCCCGTAAGACGTCCCTGAAGTTGTCAGCTTTAAATTTCGCACTACCCTTACCACCAAAAGAACCAGAAAATGCAAGCGACTGAGATAGGAATAATTTGTATAAAAAATCACCGCCACTCCATACAAATAATCTTTGCCCTGAGCAACTGCATTTTCTGGTTCTTTTCGTGGTAAACCAGTAGAGCTACCAGTAGACCAGTGACGCTTACCCCTGGGACCAACCCCAGCCGTCTATTGGGTGGAAGACTTCGGAGGATAACAGCCAATCTTCTTACGAATTTGAGACGCTACTACTCACGTACCTACATATCTCTGCGTGGAGAGGTTCCTGATGTGTCCAAGCTGTTGATTATATGTGGAAGAAAAGCTTCTGATATAAACTCTACATGTCTGCCTTGCGAGCTGTAAGGTAAGACCTGTGGGTATGCTATGTGCCCTACCAATAGCCTACTAGGTAGACACGCGTTTACCCACATAAAAGAGTAGACAGAAGGTCATGGGAGTAAAGTTATGTACACACAGAAGACAAACCTTGACGTCAGTTCGACGTTGATATGCCGCAGTAATCATTGGCACGAAAATCACTGTGGCGCTTCCAGGATAACCAGGTACGTTGTTGGTTGCGGCGGTACCTAGCGAGGAGAAGCAACGGATGGATAAACACTAATCGCAAGGGATCACGATTATCAAAAATTACGGCATCACAGCTGCGAGCTCTTCAGGCGCCACTACTATCAGGTATTAAGTAGGGATATTGCTACAAAGGTGTTATTTATACGAGCTCTTCATCTTGTCGGGATTTAGGGGAACATGAATCTTTAAGCCTTCTTCCCATTTAACCTTGCCCCACAAAATATATTGGACCCTTTATAATTCAGGAACAACACTAAAATGCCTCTTTTAAAACCTAACTATCTATTAATATCCCCCTTTCTCCATCCGACGAGAACATTCTTGAAGGTATGTTCTCAATATCCTATTTCTAGAGCTCCACGTCAGCCGTTTTCTTCATCATGCCCTGGGGCGCATGCCACCACACGAGATCCCCCGAGCGCCCCTTCTACGGAAGCAAAGAATCTCCGTACCGGATTAGAGGCACCTACATTTCTAGGGACAAAGAAACGGCTTCCTGAATTTAATCTTGCAGACCATGTTGTACTCGTATCTGGTGGTGCTGGTGGCCTTGGATTAGTTCAATCCGAGGCCCTTCTTGAAGCAGGAGCAATAGGTACCCGTTTTCAATTCTAAATAAATTCAGTATACGAACTAACTGGATTTGATATAAAGTCTATGCCCTTGATCGCCGCGACCAACCTCCTCCAGAGTTCGAGGAAGCCTGTGACCGCGCCGAAGAAACGCTAGGCACTAGATTACGATACCGGAAGATTGATGTTACCGATGAGCCTGGGCTTCGAAAAGTAGTTGCTGATATTGCCGAAAATCATGGAAGAATAGACGGTCTTATCGCTGCCGCAGGTATCAATAAGGAGGGAGACTCTTTGGAATACACAGCCGAAGATTTCAACAAGATCCTACAAGTTAACGTCACTGGTGTTTTTTCGACGGCACAAGCAGTTGCCAAAGAAATGGTGGACCGGAAAACTGGAGGGTCTATATGTTTGATTGCTAGTATGAGTGGAACAATAGCTAATAGGGTAATTAACACCTCCCACGGTTGTAACCCATTATACGAGCTAACATTAAGAACTCATAAACTGTAGGGTCTTGTTTGTGCCGCATATAATTCTTCAAAGGCGGCAGTATGCCAGTTGGCTCGAAATCTAGCGTCTGAATGGGGAAAATTCGGAATTAGAGTAAACTCAATTTCACCTGGTTATATCATCACTCCCATGACGAAGAGTGACTTTTTATCATCCCCGGAGAGAGAGCACGAGCTTAGTGATGGTAATATGCTCGGCCGGCTCAGTCAGCCAGAGGAGTATAGAGGCGCTGGTGTATTCTTGATCAGCCCTGCTAGTAGCTTCATGACAGGAGCAGACCTGATCATTGACGGAGGTCATCATTCATGGTAGAATCAATACTGTATAGTTTTCTATGTCTTAGTCCTCATTCTGTTTATCTGTTGTTTTTTCGCATTTTGGGTAGCAATCGGGCGGAGGCGAATTATTGGGACTGGGTGGGTGAACGGAACAAAGTGGAGACAGAAATTTGAAACAAGAGCAAGCAAAGTTTTTCCTGCGATGTTGGTAAAAGTGGGTCGAATGGAGAGTTAGAGTAAGATGGTTTCTTTTGTTTCTGTAATTGTGTACTTTTAATTTAGCCGTAGTACTACAGGACTTTGTGGCTATGAAATACCCTAGTGCGTGTTTAAAGGGTAAACATTTTTCTTTTGGAACAAGAGGTGAAACTCCATGATATTTGATTATCTCAGAGGATCGCGGGTAGTCTGAAACCAGGATCGAAGATCGTACGAGGCCTGGATGGATAAAATTCTAGATGTTACAATTGAGTGTATATCGATCTGGAAAAGTCATCAGCATAGCCGAATCCTTACTTAGAAGAACCACACAACGGATAAACTCCACATCTTCCTAAAGCTCAAAGGACCTGGATGCGGGCCCAGGGCCCAGGATTAATTTTTCGACCGTTTGTCCCATCAATTGGTCAAGTTGGAGAGTGCGGTAGCGGACTGGTGAGGCCTTGTTACATTGCCACACAGGTTCTTTTTACTAAATAGGCATGCACCCATTATGCATACATGTATGGTAAGAAAAATCTAAGTTGTGAGATCTCGAAGTTTCCTTTTTTATTTTTTTTATTTTTAGCTTAGTGGCTCAAGCCACCACATATTACCTGTTATTCAAAGATTTAGGTAGGTAATATTCGTGGGGCGGCATTGAATGACTAGCTGTAACCTATCCGTTGCATTTTTCGTGATGTCGAGTGATTTATCATGATAAGGTATTTACCTAGGCCTTTGTCGGCATATCCTGGCATTCAGGTGTAGCTTAGCTGAAACCTTCAGCAGAAACTGAAAGCATGTATCTCTGACATGTATGGAGCGCAGACCGATCAAAATAATTCAATTGATGCGTTATTTGATCCCGTCATTATATATGGAGAAGCAGTGACATATCATGATCATGATTCCATACCAGTGGCAGTCTATACATTAAGTCAAGGCTTTGAGTACGATCCAGTGCCAATTTCTAGCAGAAATAATCACCAGGGTTGAAATTTGGTGGGTACGTAGTCATATCCAATGCTCAGTACAAGTGATAGTGTGCGGGGTCGGTGGTGCATGGAATTGGTTTGGGGTATGTAGGATCCGGAAGCAACAGGTGTGAGAATTAACACATAAAGAATATTGTTGATCGAAATACCAAGGAGAGTAAGAATCTAAGCCTATATCTGAGTAATATCATAGTGATCCCATTGTAGCCCCGTGATTCCTATAGCTAAACGAGTGTCTGATTATGGACGAAAAGGTCTGTGGATTTTTTAAAAATTTTCTTCATGAATGACCATGACTTCTTTTAATAGCCACCGAATCTTTTCTTAGAAACCCCCAAACTTCGTGTTTGTTGAATATATGTGAGGTTGATACATGTATTTTGCTAACTCGTGGAATTGCACATCATATGTGCACTTATCATCGTGCAAAAAGTAAGTGCACGATTTTCTTTGCATTCACGTTTTCGCACGACTCCTCCCATAAACCTTGATCAAAGAAAAACGTCGTGTCAGTTTCTGTACATAGGATACGGATATTTTTGGAAATACTGTGTTGAAGGCTGAAGAAGCACGCCATAATGGATATCGAAACTTACTCCTTGGAGACAGATATTGATGTGTAGCGGCCCGTACAATTACCAATGATATCATAAATGCGTACACCACATCCCAAAAGGTTTCGATTGAGAACTGCAGTGTCCACACAATCGACCATATGAGAATGATATAGGCTAACGTCCTGTGATAGGATAATTTAGCGAGCTCATATTAGTCAATTGAGATAGATGGATCGGGAGAATTCAATAATTGCACCTTGTGGTCAGGTCGGAGGTTCTTATTATTATAACTTTGATACTTCGATTATCTACTCTAGTGCTTGTCAGACGGGATTACCCGTGACAGTTAATCGTGTACTACTCCATACACTTGGCTGATACATACAGTACTTCAAGTACTCAAATCTGGGTCAATAGTCGTGTGGTCGATTCATGGACCAGGGCCAACTCTATCGGTGTGTGTTTTTGCACTGATCCTTATGATCAGCTCTACGAGTCTGCACGAACCGCCTTGACCTTGCCGATTGTCGATCAGTGAGGGAGTGGAAAGGTGAAGTCTCGGGTAAACCGCACTTTCCAGTAGTTTCCCGAATAGGCTGCCTTACTCACGGCAATGTATTATTCTTTGTCCTACATAGGTCACCTATTGGTTGGGATGGTTGTGTGTAGAACGATCTTGGGTGAAGTTGCTTTTTCTTGGTCTATTTTTGTTATCGATACGACGAATGCAGGGGTATGTAGGGACCGTATTGTGACTTCGCACTTGGCACGTCGGGCTGGTCTCAACTGTGACAACACCACCGCAGGCTCGGCTTATTGATTCAAACCTAGAAATGAATCAAGTCCTCATATTTGAAAACTCGGCTCAAATTCCTTCAACTTTCCCGCGTATGTAGGGATAGTGGAGTACCTACTCAACATACTATAACACTCTGATCAAGCTTTGCGCATGAAAAACAGGGCGAGACTCCAACGGCTGTCTATCCATACTCTATTTGGAATAATAAGGCTTGTTACGATACGATGCCTACTGTAGGCACTATTCCACAGTAGGCAAGATGATCAGGGTACCGGATGCTCTGAGTGATATTGATTGGCTTGATAATATGGCGCTGGAACCTTAATTGGCCGATCACTTCAATACATAAGTTCGAGAATTTGAATATCGTCTATGTAGAATCAGGTAAGAGTCTATGCAGGAGTAACGTGGCCATGTTGCAGGGCAAAGTCCATGGTAAGAAGTATTTCTTTCCATTCGATAAACAAACGAGACGCAACAATGGCCAATGAACTAACAGTCACTGCCTACCACCATCACTATTCCGGACACGTAGAGATCAAAATGACGGCTATGATATATATAAGTACCCGTAGGTTTGGCCCGAACTATCCGGATCATGAATTTTTTCGTTTGTGTCTCTTTTAAGCTCTACCAGTTTGGTATTAGTATCGAGATTAGTCTAAATGACCTTGTGCTCTCCCATATAGCACAACATGTGCAAAAGCCACTTGAGTAACGAGAAATATCATCATATCAGCAGGCTTCATAATTTGGTCATAGAAATTCTGTCAGTAGTAGTTCAACTCAGGTGCTGTCCTTTATTTTTAGATTAGATCGTAAAATTGTTTGTACCACGTATCGATGTTTGGCCACAGGGATACTTCGAGTATGTACTCTATGTATGTACACAGATACAGACAACCTATTAGATTGACTCTGACCGTTTTATGCAGGGACTTGCCTTATCAATCGTGAAATTATTTTTCAGTCTAGATCATCGCATTAGAGTTTTAGGTTGAGATGTTAGTATTGAACGAGGGATTAATGGATTATTATTTGCCGTTACTGCATATACATATATATATGCACTTATTTATATAGAGTACTTACTCTAGGATTTACGCACAAGTCATGCTAGCACATGGTCCAGGATCTGCCGGGCCTGTAGACATTTGTACCGCACCTCTATATTTTGGGTGTGGTGTATTCCAGCTTCGTCTGAACTTGTGATGTCCCGTAGTGCAATTACGGACTGTAGCTGATTCTATACCGCATCTTTTAATCGAAGCCTTAGGAATTTTGCCCGAATGAATAGATGAAATCATATATATTGGATCTGTAAAGTACGCGATTGCAAGTACTGTCTGACAAAATTAAGCTGATCGACGATTAAGTAAACTAGGGCTTTCTCAACAAGGCTATTGCATGGAGCCCAAATTGCTCAATTAACCAACGAACAGGTATGTAGTATAGGATTTTATTCTATGATTTGGGAGTGTGTGGGCCATAAAATGCGGCTGAAAGCTAGGTTCCCCGGATCTTCTATCGATAGAAGTACCCATAAATAAACAAAATCGCCTATGGATTCCAAGGCCACGGATCCTGGTCCTTTGTTCTTAATTGTAGTACTGTGGTGTGACGCTGGTGTGAATAAGGAAAGGTTCAATAATTGGTACAACCAGCAAGAAATGCTTGTTCTTGCTCGCCTCAATTGATCATTGCAACATCACTTGGCGAGAAACAGTTCGTGATCTGTTCTACTCTAGGTGGGTGTGGGACTAGACTCGTGAACCCTATTTTCGGTAACAACCAACGTCTAAGATTAGACAACAGTACTACTCGTAGGTTCATGACGTTTCCGAACACGACTGCTATTGCATGCCATACAAAAAAGCGCCAAATCCACCTTTTTGTATGTCATGCAATATTGGTCGTGTTCGGAAACGTCATGAATCTACGAGTAGAGCGTAGAACATACCTATGTCATTATAGCGAGCGGGCCGAGTGCGGATCAGATCTCGAGCATGAGATCTCAAGAGTTACATAGGTAGTACTCTAGAGTAAGTAGAGATGTTGGAAAACATGATCAGGGGAAGAGAGTGTCGAAAGGACTTCCCCTAGAGAAGAGTATTCTCCGATGGCACTGTGGCAACGGTTCCTTTTCGCCTTAATGTTTCGGGCAATACCTTAATGTGCACGCCCATGGATGATCCTTTGGTAAATCCCCAGCCTACAGGAAGGATGTAAATGTAGGTCTCAGCTACAATGGGAACCTCCCTAAAAGTCACGTCCCACCATGGCCTAGCGTGTGTGTGAGACAGACCATTGGCTACCAACCATCGATCGTGGACATCAGCGGACATCAGCGAACCTCACTTCAGGGACACACGCACAAAAGAAAAAAAACCAAACGTTCCAGGCATGTATGGGTGTAGGAAAAAGAAATGTCAGGTAAGCCAACCAAAATCTACGTCTGTCGTACACACGGGAATATGCATTC